TACGGACAGCTTGTTTTCCACTAACTGTAAATAGGAATTACTTTAATCTTTCCTAAAATGTTTACATGTAATTGAAGAAGTATTCAATAAAAAATAGCTGAAAAGATAAAGTTCTGTAACTATAATTACACAACAAAGCACACTCTGTTATATTAAATTAATTAAAATGTAGATAGATGGATAATAATACATTCAATTCCACTGTAAACATGGAAATCAGGAGTCATAATACTAAAAGGATATATCTTTGTTACTTTGTTCTTCGTCCTGTTGCATGTGTTTTAGAGTTTGTCTAACAATAAATAAACATGAGGATTATGTATCATAATTTATGTTTTCTAGATGTTTCAGAAACATTTAGTTTTAACTAAAAGACTGTATAAAAATGGCTATATGTATTGTCCATCTGGGGGCATCTTTTTGTATTCTTGTTCTCTAGTTATGGAAATCTTATAAGTACCACTCAGTGATACCACTCAATACTACTTCTTAAAAAATATAAAATCAGAAAGATTTGAAAAGTTATTATTGTACTGGTACTGCACACGTTACTAAAGTGGGAAGAGAAGGGATACAGTGGTTTCTTCTTTTAAAATTAAAGTGTGTTTCCAGCTAATGAGCCCAATCCTGCACTTACCTGTATATTTTCACACCTACATTTACTTTTAAAAGGAGAAAGAAACTGCAGAGAGAATTTTCTCCATTAAATGTTTAATTACAGTTCTTTCTAAAACAGGAGAGACTTGTCTTACACAGTCGTTCAGTTCTCAGATCTGCCACGTAAAGTATCACGTGTGCTTGGATTACTTACTTCAAGTCTGTGAATTGTTTGCTCCGTCTGTAAGAAAGAAATAACACTTCCATCCTTTAACTAGCTTGGAGGATTACGCATGTGTGTGATTTTGTGATCTCTTGCTTTGAAAACCCTGCAAACTAATGTTGTTTTGTCCTTTATCAATATCTTATTTTCAAAATAAAAGACATTTGGAATAAAAATAGTATGTATGCATTCGCCATATTTGTTTTTAAATCAGAGTCATTTTGGACAACATTTCTTGATAAAATGTGCATATTATCAAGACTTCTAAAAAGTATGAAAGCGAACTGAAGATGGAGGCTAGTTATGATGCCTATCACTTATGGCATTAGCAATACGATACTAAGGTGACATAAAGAAGTGAAATTTGTATGATTCCTGTTATTGTTTAGTCTGTAGCAGCAATAGGTGGTCATTTACCTGACAAGCTACTTTCCAGGTAACAGTGTATTATTCATGAATGGCAAAAGAGTGGTATTCCACACACAAGCCAACCTCTGCCCTTCCTCTAGTAAACTTATATGGGTAGAAGTAGATTTGCAGGGCCTCAAAAAATTCTCATCTTCATTTCTTCAACCATGCTGTATGGTCTGGAGTTGGTCCAGTTTCCAATATCCATCTTTTCATACTGCATCAAGCTCTTCTTTAATTACTACATTCATATGTAATAAGAAGACAGTTAAAGTTTTGTTTTGCATTGGTTTTCCTGAAATGCCCTATGTGTTAAAATATGCTTGTTTATATATCTTTAGTTTAATTAAGCTGGACTTTTAATCTAATTCAAAGAAATGAGGCAGCAGATATCAGAAGCCTGAAAAACTCTTCAGAAATTTGGAGCCTTTATCAGATAATCATTTGCATGTTCTTCAGAGGATGTAAGACCCGCCATGTTTGGCAGAGTTATTGTACACAGTCATCTTTTTAACAGAGTTAGGAGATGATAGTTTTCATGGAGAACATTGTGAATTAGCTGAGTTGCAGTTATAAATCATGTATTTCATGTTGTCTCTTTAGTTTTTCATGAGAGGTCTGTTTGAGAATGTGTTGAGAGTTTGTAGCCCACTGAAATGAACCACATAATTCATTTCATTAAATGTTTTCACTGAGTCCCTGTACTGTCATCTGCCTGAATTGACTTTGGGTACACTGAGTGATATATTTTTTATGAAAAAGGGTTTGGATTTGCCTCTTTGCTGCAATCATGAAACATCAAAACAGAAATCCTGGAAAATGCAGATATCAGAACAGAGGAATATACTAATGCACACATCTGGCCGTAAGGTAGCAGCTTTCTGATATTCTTCAGAACTATGGACCAAATTTGCACTATGCCAGGAAGGAATGAAGTGCAGCCTGGTGTATCAGTGGTGGTTGTGGAATGTACTCATTTATAGTGCCTAATTACTATTAGAGAAATCTCTAGTTAATAAGTATTACTGATTTAGAATTCAAGTAATTTTCAAAATGCCTTGTCCTTTAGCTATGGGGAAGAAGCTACATAGCAGCTATGATATAAGAATGCCAAGCGTATGCATACATGGATGCCTACATGAAATTAACTGAATTTATAACTTATTTAACTGAAGACCATATTAACTGCATAAATAAGTATTTGTACTAATGACCGTAGCTATGCCAGTTTCTGATCTTCTCCATCATCCTGAAAAACAGGTGAATTAGGTCCTCTGCTTTAACTCATACAGTTTAAAGTGATTGTTGAAAAATATGGCGGGGGTGGGACTGGAGGTGAAACACTGAGTATACCACAAAACTCCTGAGTCTCCAGATCAAGAATAAATATGTGGCCAGTAGATTTAGAAGAGATGCTGCAAAAGGTAGCAGAAATGTGCCTGCTAAGTGAGTATCTGTGTTTATAGCTGTTAGAATAACGTCCTGTGCCTTACTAGATAGGATCTTTAGCACTAAACACAATTAATCAGCACCACTTAGAGAGTCAAATTGACTTTCATTTGGTGTAAATCAGAATTTTTACTTGTGTGTTTAAAAGTAACTAAGCTGGTGAACATATACAGAAGATGTAAAAAGGAGAGGAGAAATGGAGTAACAAGTATTAATGCCAACACTATTTGCTGTATTTTTTAGTAACAGGTATATAAATGGTGAAAGAATTCCTATGGGGTTTAAAGGGTAAAGTTAATGGTTTAGTTGGGAAGATGTCTTTCTTCCTCTTTACCTTTTCGTTCCTTTTTGACATATGGTAGTTGAACAGCATCACTGCTGAGGCAAAATTACTGCAAGAAGGCAAATTCAGATCTTCTGTGAAAAGAGGAAATTCTTATTGGTTTCAGTGGGAATTGAATTTTACTCTTTGCTCATCCCCAAACTTGTAAAAGATGGTTTGTCTTGACCTTAGGACTTGGAAGACTTAGAAAAAAAACATTATTGTACAGATATGGCATTTTGAATACTACAGAAGGATCATGAAGAGTAACAACCAACCTTAACCATCTGAACGTTGACTATGTGCTCAAAGCCAGTCTGTACTCAGAGGAGAGAGACAGACAGCGTCAGGCGGTGATCAATTCTGTGCTTAAAGAGATACTTAAACTAGATCAGATGAGCTATCCTCAAGATTTCCTTATTTTATTGACCACAAAGAGAGTCCAGTGGTAGCCAAGATTAAATGTTTAACTTCTGGATAACGTAAGTGAGATGAATTCCATCTAAGTTTTTGAGTACATGTGGACATCTGATTTGTCTCCTCAATTCATATCTTAGGTATGAATGTCAGAATTTTTACTCTTAAAAATCATTTGTTTGCAGCAGGTGATCTTTCAATAATGGAAGTTAATTTTACTTTCAGGCAGAGGGTTAAGCAAAAATGCTGTCAATTAGACATTATTTTAAGAACTAAATTTAAGCTGTGATGAACTGTGTGAGAAGTGATGCTCTGTATAATGTAAAAGGAAGTAATTTCTTCTAAATGTAAATCCAGAAGGTTTGTATTTCAAGTACTTGAAATATAAAAGTGTTTCTTCCTTAGCACTGGTCACTGTGTCACTGGTTTGTGAAATATTTTGTTAATAATAATGTTATTTTTGCTGATTTACTGAAGACTGTAATTTGTAAACATGTGACAGAGGAATATGTAGCTAACGGCTTGCTCTTATTTACAGGAAAAAAAAAAAAACTTTTGCTAGATGAGAAAGTGGCTTCTTTTTCAAGGGTAGGGGGCTTGGTCTGCTGACTGATTATGTACTGGTGGTTCGAGTACGAGTCTCACACAGTGCCGTGCAGCAGCTAGCGACATTTCTTGGGCTCTTTTGGAGGACTTTGCTCCCGTACGTGCACAAACCTCTGTAGCTGCCGTGTCTTTCCCACTCGCACGGAGCTCGGCCCGAGGGCACGTGTGTGGGCGGGTGTTTACATATATGTATGTGCTTCAGCTCGGCGTGGAGAAAACAGAGAGTAAAACTCTATCCAGAACGGCACCTCAACAAAAATACCTCCTCTCAGAGCGTAATGGGCAAAGTGACAGGCTCATGATGACAAGATTTCTGAACTTTAATTTTTCACTTAGGAATGACTGTAAGTACATTTCCCTCTGCAAAGAGCAGGTGACTGAGATGGTGCCCTCCGCTCTGTACTGCGGTGTATCGGCAGGCTTGTTTCTCTGTGTAAATCAGCCTTCCCTAAAGGAAGAGCTGAGCAAGAAAGGTTTTCTTATACTGAGGTGATGTATTATATGGATATTTTTCTAGGCTAAGTGTCTTTATTGTGTAAAACATTTAGTGCTTTAAGATACTTATTTTTCTGTCTGTTTTAATCGTATCTTTTGAAATAGTCTCAATAGATTTTTCCATTCGTAACATTATGACACTTGATAAGATGATTGATTATGAAGTGTTGAGAGCCCTGCCATGTGATCATTTATTTTTAAATACACATTTGTACTAGCCAGTGCTTAAATTTCTTGCAAGAATACATAAGAGATGCGAAATGTAAAGCTTGAGTCTGATCGAATCTGATGCCTCTGGAAATAGAGTGCCACAGTACTGTGGTCTTAAAATAACAGATCCTGACTGAAACCGGAACCTTGCAGTGATAAATATTATTCCCAAAAAATATGGTCCATCTTTGGTACAAAATAAAAAAGACGTACAGCTGTGACGGAAGCAAGCTAAAACGCGTTTGATGATGATCTCTCTCTCTCGCTGTGCAGGTGCCTGTTTCAGTGGCCATGATGACTCCCCAGGTGATCACCCCTCAGCAAATGCAGCAGATTCTCCAGCAGCAAGTGTTGTCTCCACAGCAGCTCCAAGCACTTCTCCAGCAGCAGCAAGCAGTTATGTTGCAGCAGGTAATGTGGGTTACCTGCTTTGGACTTCTAGCACAGGGCAACCGTGCAAGTGTTGGCTGTGATTTTATGGGCCTTATTTTTTAATATTTCATCACTCATTACACCAAAAAAGAATGAAAATAAATGTGAAACTTCTCAGTTTTTAAATATCTTATTTTAATTGCAGAAGTGTGAAATTGCAATTTTGAAACATTAAATATTATATTTTAAACACTAGCAACGGCAGTGGCAGATGCATTACAAATACCGAACAAATTGATATTTAAATTTTCAAGTGCTTAGGCACATTTTAATTGTAGACTTGCCAAAGGAAGTGCAAATAGAGTTGTAGATAATTGTTGCTTTAAAATTCATAACACTTTAGTGCTCCCTTTAGACACATAAATGAAATGCGGTTATGAAATTTGAACTTAATAGCTTGTTTCGCCATGGGAAAAAGTTTTTGTGTTTTGTTTTTGGCATCCAAAAATTTGTCCCAGCTGAGGCTAAAGAGAAGAAGGATGGTTGCTGTTTCCTTAGCACAAAATCTGGCAGCTAAGTCAAGAATCAGTGAACTTGTTATTCATATGCTAGAGATAGTGTCAGTGATCAGTACTTCAGTGTAACACAGAGAGGATTTTTGGGTGTGTGCTTAATTGTGGTACAGAAAATGATGTGTCTCTTAGTCATAGCCCAGTCACTGTATGTTTAAACATTCTGGTATCTAGTACCATGATCATTACAGACAACTCACCTTCAATTGTGAATCTGGCATCCCACTAAACAGATTGACAGTTTAATTACTTTTTTTTTTTCCCCCAAAGAAGCAGACAGTTTTGTTTGGCCTTAGTGATTCGTTGGTTACTTGCAAGTGGATGAGTACAGCTTCTGATTTGTTATATAGGTTATGTGAGGAACTCAGGTGTAGTTATTTGAGGAGTTAATTTGGCTCTTGCATTCCCTTTAGAATACAGATTTTCTATACCCTTCTGTTTAGGATATTTTGGAATCTGCATTGGAAAATTTCAGAACCGCCTTGGAAAAAAATGTATGTAGATCTGCCTCTTCAAATCACATTTTTTTTTGTTATGAGGTGATTCTTAATGGCTACGCTACCATATGCCAATCTAGAAGAGTTTAGGAGATTTATAATACTTGAAACTTTTGCCTTTATTTATTAAAGTCAAAATGGTTTATTCAGCAACAACTACAAGAGTTTTACAAGAAACAGCAAGAGCAGTTACATCTTCAGCTTTTGCAGCAGCAGCAACAGCAGCAGCAACAGCAGCAGCAACAGCAGCAACAACAGCAGCAACAGCAGCAACAGCCGCAGCACAGCAGCAGCAGCAGCAGTAGCAGCATCCAGGAAAGCAAGCGAAAGAGGTAGGTGCTAATACACTTTTTGCTGGCACACTAGCGTGAGCTGTCAGGAACTTGGAAAAGACAAGAACAGCTTCCTGTAGCGAGGATCTAGCTAGCAAAGATTTGTTCTTATGTTTTTGCCAGGCTTAATAGCAGGGCCAGTATAATGCTCTTGCTCTCCCTTCTCCAGCGCAGGATTTGAGCAGTCTGGTGCTGCTGTCGTCTAATGTTTGCTAATGAATCAGAGTGTGCGAAGGACAAGCTGTGTGCTGGACAAAGTACTGATTATCTCGCATTCACAGGGAATTTCAGCTGGCGAAGGAGCCTGACTTTTTGCTGTGGCACAGCTCAGAGAGCATGCAAATTTAGTCCGTGGTCGAAAAAAAAACAGTTGAGCGCAGATTTCAAAGTCACAGGCCCCTGATTAATGAACTGCTACTGTAGGTTTGGAGTGGCGAGTAGAAAGTTACAGTTTGATGTGCTCATAAATCACCCTGACAAGCTGGTTTCTCAGGCCTGGCTTGCACTTGTCAGCAAACTGCATCAAATATAAACATAATACAAACAAAACATGTTGAAGTAGTTAAATTGATCAGCAGGTATCCTCGACGTTGTCTTCAAGCTGCCCATTATGCAAACGTACAGGAAGCAGTGCTGACCTCCTGAGGCTTCGTCTCTGTTTGGATTTGTGAATAGAATTTCAGACAGCCATCAACTACGGAATAGAAATTGCTCCCTTATTTCTCCGGAGGTTCTGGGCAATCCACATGACTTGCTCCATTATGCAGTCTGTTTTCCAGTGAGCGCATCAGAAGTTTCTCTTTTCCCCAAACTAAAAAGGAAAGGTCTTCCGCAGCAGCTTGTCTCTCTCTGAAGTGTGACTGCCTTCTTATGCCCTCCTGAGTCTGAAGAACTCCGGTTTGTCTTGTAATGCCTCACAAAATTGGAAGTTATACTTTGACTCATAATAGGGCACTTCTTTGCCTCGAATGCAATGCTCGTTTTAATGTATTCCAACAAGAAGAGAGGGAGAGCTAACAGGCCAGTGAAATGAAGGCTACATCCCAGTTTACTAATAGATCACTGGAGACCACATTCATGGACCGCTGCAGACCAAACTTAGTCAATTGGAAAAACAAGAGTGCCTCTGAATCACAGAGCGCTGTAAAGAGTCACACTTTCAGCATAGATAAATTTGTTATCATCTGCCATGAGCTGGGATTTTTGTGTGTGTGTGTTTGCCTGAAACAACTGCTATATACTTTCTCTTGACCCTTTTCTTGTGCATGTCCTTAAGAGTGTCTTGCCTTTTTCCATAGCACCTACTAGCTTGAATAAATATAACAGAAAATTTCAAACAATTTCACTGTCTGAGTTTTCTACAAATAACATTATTATTTAATAAGAGGAGATTAAAGGGAAAGAAGTTAAGGTTCTGTTTTGGGTGTTCTGGCTTTTGCTGCACACTTTATTCTCTGCTGCATTTGCTTTCTGTTTCCTTCTTTCTGTAGCAGCAGCAGCAGCAGCAGTTGGCAGCCCAGCAGCTTGTCTTCCAGCAGCAGCTCCTCCAGCTGCAACAACTTCAGCAGCAGCAGCATCTGCTGAAACTTCCGCGCGGGGACTTATTTCCATCCCACCTGGCCAGTCTGCTCTTCCTGTCCAGTCTCTGCCACAAGGTATATGAATTATATATGATGGGAGTAGTTTCTAATTCAAAACTCTTTTTTATTATTAAAATACTATTATTCATACTACCAAATTTTCTTTGGGCTGATAAATTTTACAGCATACTTTTATGCAAGAAAACAGCTTTTGCTTTCTTTTTCTTAGATATAAAATGCATATTTATTAGGCTTAATTGCTGAAAACAATTTCTAATAGGATCACAATTCAAGCACCATCACTTTTCTCTGAGGACTTACAGAAATCCGATTTAGTAGGAGTGTAATAATTTCTTATAACATAAGTATCTAAAAGATATTGGACACTGATATTAAAGTTATTCCAAATTTGCTTTCTTTTTCCTTTTTTTTCCCTTCTAAGAAAAGAAAGTGTTTGGTATGTAAAAATACTCTAAATCTTTAATTGATGACATGAATTTAGGGACATATTTTAGGATTCCTTTTATTTGCTATTCTTTTTTATTTGTTAAATATGACAACAGTTTTTGTAAGCTGTGAATACAGTAATAAAGAATTGTGACTTACAAGTAATAGTGAAGGATTTTAGAAAATAAAAATTTTCCCTTTGTCACTTTGATCGAGATTTCTCGATATGATAAATAAGCTCAAACTCCTTAGTTCTTGCTATTCTACAGATACATTGATGATCAAAAGAAATGTAGGGCGCACATTTTTTGAAAACTAAATTTGAAAATAAATACTGCTTTCAAGGCCAAAGATTTTGTATGTTAAAGATTGCCTATGAGGCACATGTTTGTTGTTTGTTTTTTTCTTTTACAGTAGGGAGGTGAGCTAAATGACTCCTAAAAATTGCATAATATTCTGATCTTTGAAGCTCCAGGCCTGCACTGAGTATTATTTAGACTGTGTTCATGACAGGTAACATTACTTTTAGTTGGCATTTATGCCCATATGTCAGTCCCTCACCAGATAGATAACCATTATGAAATTGAAGCCTTGGAAATTCAATGAGCAAGAGCAGCGTACATGTTACATAGACTGTAATGTAGCCAAAGAAAAAAGAAAAAGATATAAGAGGTACTTGAACCTCTTGATTCCTCCCTGGCAAGCAAAGATTACAAATACATGAATCCATACATTTTGTTGTGTGAAAAAGCTATGACATAAGCATACCTAAAGGTACAAAAATACAACAACAACAAAAAAGCTATCTCATTAAATATTATTATCTGGGAATAGCAGTGGGGAGGCAAACTAATACATTTGTACATGCGAGACTGGTAGTTTCCTTTTGTACAAAGTCATGTTGGAAAAAAGTAATTGAAATACAGCCTCCTCCTAACAGCTTTACCTTCTGCAACCTCCTCTTGTGCCATCTGTTGCAAGAGGAATTCCTCAGGTTTTCTCTCACATTAAGCATTCCCCACAGATTTCCCTCAGCACTCCTACCCAGTTGCATTCATTAGTTTAATGTAAAAGTCATTCATCTACTTCTACTAGAAAAACACATATAAAATAATGCTGTTTTAAAAATATTTTTAGGAGAACTAGTAAATAGCCACCCCAGTGTCTTTTGCTCAAAGAATTAAGTGTAAGTGAAGTCATGAGAAGAAATTGGCCCTAAAGAAATAAGATAATACACACTTTTACATTTAAAATATTTCTGGATTGTTCTTTCTAAAGTAAACCAATCTCTTGTTTGCTTCTGTCCTGTTCTTTATTAAATATAATGAAATCTAGTTGAATGTTTCATTCTTCGTTTTTCTTTCCTACTTCTAGTATCTTCCATGTCTCTGGGTTTCCTTTAAGTTAAATCCATAGTGTTTTGTTTTCCTTTTTTGGTTGTTTGTTTGTTTGCTGAGTGCTGATATCATAGTGCTGATATGGATGAGCAGAGGAAGAAGACACAGGACAGGTTCCCCTGGAGAACTTTTCTGCATCTCCAGAATGGCCACCAAGTCTGTGACAGGAGAGCTGAAGTTTAGGTGCTGGGGATAGAAAGGAATGTGTTTTCAGTAAGAACTGGAAAGAGAGACACAAATTGGGAATTCTGACATATTAATAGTTCTTCCTGTGGGCTTGTCCTATAGCCACATAGCATCTTTCAAGGAGAGATAGCAAGCAGTTTCTAGTAATGTAATGACAATGAATACAGTTCAGATCAGATGACTTTCTTATAAGTCTTTATTTGCATATAGAAAATATCCAACTACTACTACTTTTATCATAGATGCTCCTGCACAGGGCTTGTGAGTATGAAAAGAGTAAGGGGTTCAATCTTTTCCTTCACTTTTCTCATGGAAATTTACCAAATTTTGTGATAGACATTCTGTGGTAATATCAGATCAGACTTCTTGTAACTTAAATAACTTCTTTTCAAGGAAAAGAAAATGCACTGGATGTAGTAAAAAGCTTATGCCTTCCGCAGAAATGTTTGGAGAATGTATGTGTATATTATATAGATATATAGAATTTACAGATAAATAACACAAATATTTTTATATGTGTCCACTTACTTAGAAAAATCTGGTTTAGGACTGGGCTGAAGGACCATAAGCAAAGCATGGTAGGAGACCACTGGACATGGGGAAGAGCAGTTACTCCAGCCACTGCCAACACAGACTGATTCACCCAGAATGTTGGGGCATCAGGGCCCGAAGTTTGACTGCCCGTGATAAAAACTTCCTTGGTGCAAGACACAATTTAACACAAAATTAATTTATTTTTTTCAACTGCAGGAGAAAGGGAGCAGTTTTGAGTAAATACTGTGCTGTGTATCACAGCACCTAACTTAATGCATTAGTTTTCAATTTGACTTGTGATTACATTTGCAGGTAACTATTATTTACCATGCTAAAATGGGCTATTTGTAGAGTTGCTGGGATGCCCCTCATGAAACCTGCAGTAATTACTCACTTTCATTAAACGACTGCATCTGCTATTACTGTTACTGCTATTACCCGTCTCAGTAATGCAGGAAATTGGAGCCTAGCTTCTTTGCTTATGTCCTTAAATCCTAGCTTTTTCTGGACACAAAATATGAACTCAGTTTTAAGACATTTCAATCAACTCTCTTTTTTTACTTCTTAATTAATTGAGTTTGCCATTGGTTGTTGGTCTCTAAGCACACAAAATAATGTTCTAAAGACGAGCTACTTAAATTTTAAAAATTGTGAGTACCTTTCAACCAATTTGTTTTCTGGCTACCTCCAGACTTTTTTTTTCTGTAAATAATTAAGATTTATTTTTTTAATAACCTCGTACACTTCATAGTAAGACAATTACTAGAAAATAGTAACTTACTGTACTTTTTCATAATTTTTTGATGAATCCATTCGGCAATGTGAGTTCTTAGTGTGAGAACCAGACAGAACTAAGACAGATCCTTGAATATATTCAGACACTGCAGACATTGCTTTTGTAGCTCAGGATGAATCCTAAGAAATAAAAGTACAAGCCTTACAAGTGGAGAAGAGGACAAACATTTTTTTCAGCTTTATTGGTAAATAAACCTGTTGGCTACATTTCAAAGTAGTGCCGTGCAAACAATAGAGAAGTTTGAGAAGCTCTTTCAGTTTTGTCTGATTAATATGTATGTGTTATTAAAGTTAGATGTTTTATACCCAAATGTTAAACCTGTTGTGATCTCGTTGATTTCCATCTCATCTTTTGATTTCTCTCCCTTGTCTCTGCTTTACCCACTCCTTACTTTTTGAGTCTTCTAAGAGAATATTATTGCTTATATCCTTAGGGCGATGTATTCTATTTTTCATTTCATATCTGATTGGTTAAACAACAATTCTAAAAGCTGAGTAAACCGAGGAAATGTTGAGTCACATTTGCTTGTCAAGAGATTGATTCTGCAGACAGCAGAAATCTCATCTAAAAATGTCGTTAGTACTAGTTTTTGAAGAAGTCATTTGTCATGTGTAATCTTTGATCCTTGAATGAGTGTTGTAAAAAGGAGTTTAATATTATTAAAATTGGTGGGTTTTAATTGACTGTTCATAACATAAAAGAAAGGCAGTTAGATTACCTGAATTTTGACAGAAGAAAATTGAAATTATTTTATACAACACGTTGATTGTGCTGGAAAAAAAGAGCATCACCTGTATTGTTGGCATTAATCCATTAATAACACTGAGCTCATTATATGAAACTCTTATTTTCTTATATTAGTGGGGCTCTCTTTCATTTTATAGCTGGCTTAAGTCCTGCTGAGATTCAGCAGTTATGGAAAGAAGTGACTGGAGTTCACAGTATGGAAGACAATGGCATTAAACATGGAGGGCTAGACCTCACTACTAACAATTCCTCCTCTACTACCTCCTCCACCACTTCCAAAGCATCACCACCAATAACTCATCATTCCATAGTGAATGGACAGTCTTCAGTTCTAAATGCAAGGCGAGACAGGTAATGCTGATGAGATTTCAACTGTGCTTATCATTTGACATAACGCTATTGCTTAACGTTATAAGGGGAATTATTTCAAATCACAACGTAAAACTTACTACAGGTTACATAAGAGGTTGTGGAGACCTAGTTTTCCTAAATTGTTTATCAATAGGGCATCGTTTTCAATAATGATGTCTAATTTTGTCAGTGCTACTGCAATTACCTGCCTACGATTTTTATACCATGTGAACTCATGGCACCTTCGATAACAATTAGAAATGCCAGAATAGCAGGTGCTCTTTCAGAGGTGTCAGTGCAGATTTGTGCTTACTTTGTAGGCACATAGTTTAATGCATATTTGAATTCACACATCTGGCAGTCAGACATTTGCGACTGAATAAGAGAAAATGCGCATACCCTGGTAGACTGATACTGGAACTCTGCAAATATTTCATGTAAAAAGTGCTGTATTCAATTAGTACATTAAGACACTTTGTTTACTTCTTGTGCAGAAAACCACTGAATTTTTCTTCTTATGTATACTATAGGAACTCAGCTGACATTTCATACAAATTTTCAGTCGCATTAATGTAATGCACCAGAATGTGACCATATGGATTAAGTTAAAGTCATTTTTCAGACACACTGACAGACACACAGTTCCTTATTTTCCAGGAGTGGATTAAAAGTGTAAGGGCATATGTACTATCTACAGCATTTACGACAGTGTTGTATGTTAGGATTGATTGATGTAGATGATCTCAATAAAAGATACATTTTAATTTGCATCTACATAATTAAATTGTAAGTAATGGTATTTTCAATAAATATTTGCTTTAATTATCTTAATGTTTGAAATAGGAGACTATAATTTAGATGTCTCTGGTCCTCATTTCACAGTGAGGACATTTTCTACTGTTACTTTTACTATTAAAAATTTTTGTTACTTCTCTATATATCTTTATAGTGGCACTTTTCGTTCAGATTAATTTATAATTATATGCGAGACAAGTTGTTTCTTTCCTCTAGAAAGTATAACACCCTTCTGGAGCAGTCCCCCGAATCCCTTTGATATATGCACATGCATGAAAATATTGCTAAAGTTCCAAAAAAAGAAATGGAGAAGAGCTGGGGTCTTTTATAAAGCCAAGTAGTTAACGGAAGCAACAGTTGTGAAAAAAATGTATTTATCTATTAAGATTGCTTTAATTTTACATACCTTTTAGCTGAAAAACCAAATATTTTATAATAGTATTCACATTATTCATAAATTCTGACTGCCCATCCTTAGTATTTCTTTGCAGAGTTGATCAGCTATAAGTATATTTTTTATTTATAGGTAAAATGTTACACCAAGGTCATATGGCAGAATTAGCATGTGGTATTATACAGTCATCGTATTTTTTCATCCTTTATTAACAGTCATCCTTGGCTCTATTTCTTCTCTAATTGGAACATCATCTAGCCTTGGCAGTTGAACTATTCAATAGAACGATTAAATTTTTCTGACTGCTCTGAGCTAAATTGACCTGTTTTGACCTGTTTGTCACTGATCGTAACCTGACAGGCGCTCGCAGCCTCCGACGATTATGGCTTTTGAGATGAATCTGATGCCTTCTTCTTTTGCTGCAGCTCGTCACATGAGGAGACTGGGGCCTCCCATACTCTCTATGGGCATGGAGTTTGCAAATGGCCTGGCTGTGAAAGCGTTTGTGAAGATTTTGGACAATTTTTAAAGTAGGTTGATTTTTACTCGTTGGCAAAGGGTAGTTTAAGGCCGGGGGACAAGAATGATGGCAAAACAAAGTTGGGCTGTTAATCAGAGCAGAAATTTTGTATGTGTTCCCAGCAACTGGATAATCAAGGCTATCTGCAGAGGGTCAAATTGTTCTGCTTTCTTTCACGTTGAACACTTTTGCAGGCCTTTCAAAAGCACAGTATTTAATCCTCTTATTATCCTTTACTGAAATGGAGCCTCAGAAAATTCCAAGAGATGCTTTAGATTGTATATTCGATAGTGGAGGTATGAAAAAAGCACGTTTCAAATTCTGACAGTTTGCGTATAATGGGAATTATGTGTGTAATATAAATAGAAAAGCACAAAGGACTAAGTGTGACCATTTAACTCTCACTCAATAATTTATTTTTGCCTTTACTCATATATATGCATAATAGAGAATAGAAAAACTGCAAACAGGTGGGTTTGCACCTTTTAGAAATGAACAGCAATGTGGAAAGTTTTCTACTTTTCAGAGTTTGTTTTTGCTAGCTGTTGTCTGATTCAAAGCATTGAGAAAATAAATGCCTTTTCAGCTGGAGCTTCAAACCACAGCTGGTTTCTGGAGGTTTTGTTTGTTTATCTGCTTGTTTGTTTGTTTTAATTCAATTCGGTTGCTATACTTCTGCGTTCATTTAAATCTGCTGCAGAGATGCTGACTCTCTACTTGTTTATTATGTGGACTGGTCTTTGTCAGAAGAGCCATCCTCATTTTGGTAGGCAATAGATCTTAATGGAAAGCTACAGATAAGCTTATATAGATGAGTAACTTCAGGGGCTGAGACTCTTATGTTGTCATGGTGCAGCTAACAGGGTGAATGAACTGTTTCATGCTTCATCAACAATTAAGTTAATTAGCTCATTTGAAATTGCACTGCTTTGTTGCCAGGATGTTGGCAGAAACATCAAAAAGATGTGTTTACAAATGGTAGACTACAGGGTGTATAGCAGAAGCACCTTAACAGCAAGCCATAACTATACAGTATTGAAGTAACTTTTTTTAAAAAAAAAAATTACAGCAATACTTTTCACAAAATATTTTAACTGCTTTCTCTATCTTCCATGCTATTTTTCAGTTTGAAATTAAATAACTGATACTTACCTGCAAATCATAGCTAATATATTTTTTGCTTATAAGTGCATTAAATGGAATGTCAAAGTAGTGGCTTATTATCAGCAAAATTATATAAGGTTTAAAGGAATCTGATTTAAATAAGGTTGTTTTAAAAACAAATGGGCATTTCCCAAATTCAATGTCATATTCTAAGTATTATTAGTGGTTAGAATGGTAATTGATTTAACTCAAGGTTTTTCCTCTTCAATAAAAAAATACATTTTATAAATACTTCCATCCTTCTAGGCTGTATTGATGATAATTCTGGCGAGTGTTTTCACATCCGTTATGTCAGGTCTCTTGTTATAATCCACAGTCACTAAAACCACTCTGATTGCTGCTGTGATGGCTAGGTTTAGGGATGCAGTTGCTTTCCTGAACCAAATAACCCTGGAAGATGTGAAAGAGACATTATAACATCTTGATAATTCTGGTGTAGAGTCAGTCAGGCTTTCGAGCAGTGTCATGGCTTTTGTCCTATACACCAACAAAAAATATTTGAGAGTATTTTATTATTCCTTCTTTTCATTCAATTCTATCTTTCATGCTCTTAAAACAAATAAGAAGTCATGATGCAGAATAGGTGAGCTTGTTTATGAAATAGAAATATTCCTACATTTTACAGCAGTGTCAAGATGGAAATCAATACGTAACCTTGCATTAGATTCTTTAGTACCTTTTCATGTTCACACTAATGCAAAATCCCCATTACAATTAAAAAACATTTTCTTTCAATTAAATATCAACTTTTAGTCCAAAGATTGAGCATTTTTCCAAGCCATTAACTTTATAGGAGATGACAGGACTAATGGCTGTAGTTTTCAAGGCTTTGCTCTTAGTCTAATCTTTGTTACGATGTTTTAGATTCTCTGACTTGAAACAATATGATACCTGTGTTAAGAGAGTTAATGCAAGTATACTGTACCAAAATGAAATATTAATAAGGTACACTACCCCACTCTTGTAGGGTATATATCTATAATACGCTTATGACAACTTTGAAGAATGCCTGGTGTATGAAGTGAGCTCTAACTTCTCATGCTCAGAAAATGGTTTACCTAGCAGCTTGATATAAAAAAAAATATTGTATGGAGCATCTGAGAAGGAGGATTAAGACAGAAAACACAGTGGGTTTGCTTCACTTTCATAACAATGGAAAGGATTTAGGGGGAAGTGACAAATAACTTAAAGCAATGAAAGCTAATTCTGTCTCCTTTTTTTTTTGTTTTGTTTTGTTTTGTTTATCCAGTGTGAACTAATTCATTTTTAAGGTAATTTGACAATATTCAATATATCTAGCATTTTTTTTTTGGGGGGGGGGGCGGTATAGTTGGACTAGTTAAAGAAATTAGACTTGCAGTGAACCGTATTCATGCTTGGAAACATATGCATCAATTTTGAAAAACACCTCATCTACTCCATAATATATTTCTGTACATACAGAAAAACATAATACTGTATCTTTCCTTTGATGTCCCTCAACTCTAGACAGAAAAGTGCAGTTTATATTTTATGAAGCAATTTTCTGCCTTCACAAAATGGTGTTAGATTACAGTCGTTCGTGCATGCAAGATCAGTTTTGACTTTCTGTAAAAACAACAGCTTTTGGCTTAAGAAAAACTTTAAAATGTTAAAAGCAGACCAGAAAAGGCTAAGGCATAGCTAAAAGAAGATGACAAGAGTTAAACAAAATGTTAGACACTGGCGAGAGTAAAATAGCACCAAAAATGCTTATGAAAAAAATGAAATTCTACTATGGAACAGGTGTTGACAGAAGCTAACCATTTTGTGGGTCTCTAAGTGAGGAGCCCAGTAGATCACTAAAAGCATTTAATGGTAGTTCTTCATGACAGTCTTACAAATGTCAGAGTACAATAACATATGACAAAACTTAAGTATATTTTGTCTGCAAAATTAATTATCATTCCATTGGTCCTTAGTCAGTTTGAGTAGGAAGGATTTGACTTTTAGAGCTTAAACCAAAAGCGCATTCCAGTCAGGAAGGATTCAGTAACCTGCATGCAGCAGACACCAACAAACAAAATACAAGCTTCACAACCAAGAGCGGTAATGTTTTTCTCTATAGGGG